GGAACCCAGTGGAGGTCCGTAAGTAATGTCACCAACAAAATCGAGTGACTTAGCAAGTACAAGGTCTAAGACAGACGGTACTTGGACGTCCATGTACCTAGTAGGGAGGTCAATGAACTGGTGCAAAGATGCTTGGAGCGTAAGCTTAAGCAGATCAGCGTCGAATGTGCCTGACGCTGTCGCAAGAAAGATCTGCCCAGTAAATCTCTAGGAGGTTGAAGTCGCCCATCACCAAACACTTATTTGCGGACTGGGAGCGAATGAATTCAAGTGCCTCTTTGGATACGCTCCCAGGACTTCTATAGACAATTGCAACTGTAACCTGAGTCGAGGATGTGCTAATAACAGCCGACAGAGCTTCAACAGTCTTGTCTGCCGATTGAAATAAGCAAGTCTTCAAAACGTCAAGTTTACAGCTCACATAAAGAGCGACGCCCCTTCCCTGTCGGCCAACAGAGCGATCGCATCTAAATAGTGCGTAGCCAGATAGATGTAATTCACCATCCGTGATGTCCTGAGATAGCCACGTTTCAGTGAATGCGAGTATATTGGGATGACACTCATCTACAAGCAGACCTAACTCGTATAGCTTATTCCTTAGGTTGCGCACATTACTTAACACTATCTGAAGGTATTCGTTAGATCCAGACCTGGGTAGTGCGCTATCAGAATGGGCAGTGGTAGAGCGGAAAAAGACCGCCGGCTGACCACCCAAAAACCCACTGACCGGAGACCCTGTTCACCGGCCGCTCGCGTGCTTTTGTGGTCCGTGATGGCCTCCCTTAGCTTCAGCCAATCGGCCAGCGGAAGGTCCGGCTGAACACTAATATTTATACCTTTCAGCTTAAACGTAAACCGCATGAGAGCGCTGCGTTCCTCCGGGGTAGAGAGTACCACACGAAGTAGCCGCGGTCGAGCGTTTGGAACGTTAACTGGGACGTTCCCCAGTCTCATCAGCTTCCTGACAGTAACGCCTGGAAAACCAGGCGGAAGAAGCTTCGTCACGCACATTTTAAACCATTGAAGGTCGTCCAACATGCGATCAGCAGGAAGGACAGTAGTAGATTCAGCCGCGTTACGGAATATAACGCTACCATCCGTGAAAGAATCGCCACGACGGGGTGTATTAACCCCAAGGGTCTTTGATTCGATACTTGGAGCAGGGGGCTTCACCACTGGTGACGGGACTGTCTTTAGCCACTCCGATGAGGTAACAACGGTAGCGTGTTTTTCGCTCCATTGTCGATGTCTTACTTTTGTTAGGGTCATCGATTCCACCGAAAGGCTTTATGGCACGTTTGGTATGCTTTTTCTTCTTGATAACGGGAGCAGGGTCCTGTGAGGCTTTTTCGCTTTGAGCAAAACCAAGCAAACCTTCAGAACATGCCTTCTCGGTGAGAACCGAGATTGCCGGCAACTTCGGCTGACAAGTAGTGTGTGTTGGAATCTTCGTCTTCGCACAACCGTCAGACGGTTTGCCAAGTAACGACACTTGGCTTGTTTCTGGTGCCGAGACAACTATAACTTCTTGTTTAGCAGAGAGCTTACGGGGTTTTCTGGCTCTCTTTCGCTTTACTCGAAGGGACCCTTGAACAAGCAATTCGGCGTCGATCAGGGTAGCTTTAGATACGACGCCCAAAGCTGCTTCATTTTTGTGGTCGGTAGCCATCTGGACCGGTGACATCATGATTGGTGCCACAAGTTGATCATCGGTGCAAGTGATCAAATCTGCGTTGTTGGAGACCGGGAGCGTCATGAGCAGATCAAGCTTAAAGCGAAGATCTGAGAGCATCGAGAACGAACGCTCTACATTTCGCAGCCGAGTATCAAGAGATTTGTCCCTCGTACGGAAGGCACAACTGAAAAGCAACTTTTCGCTGGAGGCCAGCGCTGCGTACTGCTCGGTATGCAGGTCCGTACAAAGCTGACGGTAAAATCGGTTGCAGACATCGCACTGCATACCGCCGGAATCGTCAGTTACTGGTATATGGCAGCTTGGACTGCCACAAAGTGCGATAACCTCAGAATCCAAGCCACCAGGAACAACAGCCTCGGTGCATTGCGAAACCGACATAGTGGAAAACAGAGTGAAATTATAACACGTACACAATAGTTAAACGACCTCAAAAAAGGCAAAAATTGGGTGCAAAACGGGATTAAAACTGGGAAAAACCGGAAAAATTACAAGTAAGCGCCAAAGACGCTTTGACCAGAACCGCTTTACTCAGATTCAGATGGACTGAGACGATAGGAAAATCCCTTGAGTGTTCCTTCTTGATCGGATGGTTGAGGCACGAAATGATAAGGTGCTAGTTCTTGATAAATCTAAAACGAAACAACCGAAACACACGCTGATCAATCAATTACTGCCCACGTTCCACGCACTAGAAGTCCACGCTCTGTAGGTTACGTGAAGTAAGAAAAAAGTAGAAAGTAAATGGAAGATAAAGGGGAATGAGTCATTAAAATGAAGGATAACACCAAAGAGTGAATAGAATGACGCAATAAGAACTAAGAGTTTGAAGATGGATATGGTCAGGAGAAGGGAAAGGTTCCGTGTTGCCACCCAAGAGCGTCTAATTGACGCTCGAAACCCTTAACCGTAGGTTCACTGACTACACTTGCTGGAAGCAAGTTCCATCGCTCGATAACTCTATGCGATAACCGAGTGTCCGCCATGATCCGGTCAGAACGCGGTTTGTGTAGCTTCATGGGATGACCGCAAAGGCAACCTAGCCGGGCTAAATAGCCAGCTCAAGTCCGGTCCAACTTTCCCTGTTAATATGCGGTAAGTAAGGATTAGGTCTCCTCGAAGCCGTCGGTAGTGCATTGAATACATACCCAAGCTAAGTAGACGCTCGGGGTATGATTGCCCCCGTAACCCCTCGACCAATTTGGTACCTACTCGCAAAACCATCTCGAGCTCCATTTTGTCCCGAACAAGGCAGGGCGGGAAAGCCTGGACGCAGTATTCCAAATGGGGCCGGACGAAAGCTGAGAACAGCTTCACAAATATGTCGGCAGTTAAAACCCCGAAAGAACGGCGTATTAACCACAATATTCTGAAACCCCTACTTGCGGCCTTCTTCCAGTTGTCACCAAAATGTAAAGACGAAGAATGGACGACGCCTAGGTCTACCTGGTTGGAGACAAGGGGGAGTTCGACCCCACCGAGTACGTAGCTCGAAGGCGGGAAAGTTGGATCATTGGATGACAGAGAGCAGAAGGAAGATCCTTTGTCAGCTCCTTCACTTCCCTATCATTGCGGAGATGGCGTGGGTCGTTGCGGTAGAAGGTTCCGCAGAGGACCGCTGTAGCTGTCTTAGAGGCGGCAGAATCTCAGCGCGCTCAGATGAGAATCTAACACTTGTTTGGAATGTTCCTCTGTCTCAGCATCAACAACAGGATCCAGCAGCGGGTTCCAATCATTCACCACGCGAGTTGATAAGGCCAAATTGAGCCGCACACGGAGATTCCTCGGTTTGTACAGTTTCATGCGGTGGCCTCGTGTCGAACTTTCAGTGTCGAGTTGAAAGAAGTCCTGTAACTCGAAATCCAGTTCTCCTCTGAGAACACGTCGAGTGAATATCAAATCTCCTCGGTGACAGCGGTAACCTAGAGAGAACAAGTTCAGTCGTTGAAGTCGGTGTGAATACGACAGGTCTCGCAACTTAGGGACGGATTTGGATCCACGCTGTTGAACCTTCTCTATCATATCACATTCGGATTTGGTGAGAGAGTAGGCAGCGGGTAGCCCGTATTCGAGAATCGGGCGTACATGCGAGCCAAAGAGGAGTCGGAAAAGTCCCGGGGTCAGGAGAGAAAACTCTCTACGTATAGAATGGAACATCCTGTAGGCCGCGGAGACCCTCTTCTGGGTGTCTTGGATAGAGTTGAGGACTGATGACACTATCACTCCAAGATCCCTCTCTTGGGTTGCGCTTCTGAGCAAGGAACCACCAATATGGTAAGTTCCAAATGGGTTTGATGAGCCAACGGGGAGAACAGAGCATTTATCACGATTTACGGGCAACTGCCACTTATTCGACCAGTCATGGAGTAGATCGAGAGTAGGTTGTAACCGGTCGGCGTCTTCAAGGCTGGATACTTCCATCCATAGCTTTAGGTCGTCAACGTAGATTAGGCAATCCGTCTGAAGAGTGGACGGTAAGTCCTTGGTGATATTGAAAAGTACGGGACCGAGGACAGAGCCCTGTGGGACCCCGCTCGTCATGAGAACAGGAGCAGAAAATGTGTCATTCACCTTCACTTGCATAGAGCGGTCGTTTAGGAAGTCGGAGATCCAAGATCCAGAAATACCGATTCCTTGGAGCTTAAACAGGAGCCGTTCGTGCGGGACTTGGTCAAAAGCTTTGCTGAAGTCAACAAACACAACGTCCAAGCGCTTGTCGGAGTCTAACGACCTGGCCCAGGTCACCTTAGCAACAAGTAAGTTCGAGGTACAGGAGCGTGCTTTTCTGAACCCATGCTGGGCATAAGAAATGACATTCTGTCCCCCAAGATGAAGAGTAAAAGCTTGTTTTAGGATCCGTTCCATAACTTTACACACTATTGACGTCAAACAGATTGGACGATAATTGGCCGGATCATGTCGACTTCCTCCTTTGTAAATGGGTTTGACAATACCCACTTCCCAAGTTGAAGGAAGACGGCCAGCTTCTAGTGAGCGATGAAAGACTTGACATATGGGTGAAGCTATGTACTCCGCCACAGTCCTGAGGAACAAAGTATGCAATCCACCAGGGCCGGGTGAGCTATACGGATCTAACTGAAGAAGTTTCATCACAGAATCCTATACGAAGGACGCAACAGCCTGATTTATGGGCAGTAGCCACAAGATATCTTGGACCAGGAGGAAATTTGACAATGGTCAAATTCCGTTGCAAGTGTTTATTCAACCACTGTTTTCCACAATATTGTAGCTAAAAAGCTCGATCAGTATGGCACACCAAAAAATCGAGTTACCGCGTAGAACTCACAGTACAGGTCTGGCTGTATGCTCACATTATTACCCTTCAATTTGAAGGCAAACAGCAACAGCGCGTTGCCTTCCTCCGGGGTGGATAGGACTACACGAAGTAAGCGCGATCGAGCGTGGGATGTTACCTAATTTCAGGTCAGGTCAGATGGACGATAGAGGCTAGCGCCTAATGAGGAGAGCTATCCGCCACTTGGAAATAACGCTCCTTCGGCAGTGTTATCCCGGTACATAGGGTTGCAGGTGGTGATGTAGATTTGGCGACATTGAACTCATAGTGTTGTTTATTAATGATTGAGTACGCTTGCTGAAATCCTACGACCTTAATTGGTAATCAATTTACTAAGTGGTTTAAATGCGTAACGATGGTTAATCATTTTCCCGCCTCACGCGTAGCAGCCATGGTGGATGACTCACTTGCATTCCGACGTATGTTGAAGGGTCCTTATCTGGACTTCGCATCGGTGGAGAAGGATCTGAAAGAGTTTCAGATTAAAACGGCGACATCCTTTGTTCGTCGGAACGTACAATCTGCGAAGGCGTACGAAAGGGAGACTGGACAGGTGCTACCGGAAGGATGCGCATACCGATATATTCTGTTTGTATGTGTGCATGGGAGGCGCAGCAATGTCACTGGGAAGCGGTAAGTGCATTGCAATTGCCTCATGAAAAGATTACTATAGGTACCGATGTTACAATTGCCTTGCGCGTTTTTCTGTAACGTATAAGGGCGAATGTTACGAAATTGGGAATGCGTATCTGTGGCATTCGCACAGCTTCCAAGTTGGGAAGCCTTGGTTGTATGCGTGTAATCGGAGGCTATCAGAAGAGCAGGAGAGGCTGGTGTTTAACTTAATGAGAACGTTTCGTCGGACCCAGGAGATGCGTGCCTTTGTGCGGCTGGCTAGCCGAATGGCTGGCTAGCCGAACAACCTCCTCATGGTGCCAGCTGGGTGGTTCGGGTTTGACCCGTTTCAGCAAATAGTTCGGCGGCAGTGTTCCAGGACGTGGTGGGTTTCTGCCTGGCAAGCGTTCTCCCTATAAAAAGCCACAAATGTCTGCTTAACAACACTGTGACTTGGCGGTCGTGACTCGCCACAAAATAAAGTCACTGCCCCATGGGTATCCGAATAATCCTTTCCAACGCACGGACATCCATCTTCTACTCGAGCATTGCCGACGATATGAGAGTGAAAATTAGAGCAGCACAGTTACAAACAGGCACCTCACAGTTACACACCAACACACACACAGCTTCATAATTACATACCCCCTACATAAACATACACTGGTACGGCAAACATAACGTATTCTAGCACATTCTTGACCGCGCATTGTTGTCATAATGATCATGCCTGTAAAGTCGTGCCTCGCCTTGTCGAGAATAAAAACTTTATTTATTTATTTATGACATTCGTTTAACAAGGAGGGATTTGTATGTCATGCGGCGGCGTCATCGTAAGGCCTGTGTCACTGAGGTGGAGGAGGTGACTCAAATGTTGCAAAGAAATGGTGAGGTGAAAATTCTGCATGCGGGTAATCAGATTCGTTACCTATTTTTCCTACCTTCGCGCATGCATGAATTGGTGGGCCAATACGGCGAGGTAATTTTGGCAATCTCCACGTATCAGATTAATTACGGAGGCTACATCCTGTGGCATTGCATGTTTGTGGACGTCAGCGGCCTCGGTATGAGTTTCTTTTATGCCCTGTTGCCTAATGAGACGGAGGCAGTTTACGAGGAGGCAGTGAGAGGTATGTTGGAATTGGCCCCCGCGGTTGCCGGTGCTCGGACGTTGGTGATGGACAAGTGCACCGCGCAAGTGAATGCGTTCCGTAATGCGTACCCAAATGCGAACATTGTTTTCTGCCGGGTACACATTATGCGTGACATGCGGCGGCGTTGCTCACACCTTCCGCTGTGTAACGCTGAAGATAAGAGAGCTCTATTCAGCATGCTGCGGTCATTGTTGTACACGTACGACTGCGCTCATTACCATCGGATTATGGAAGCGATATCTCTGCGGAGCGCAGAATGCTTCCAATACCTGCGTCATACATGGATTCCATGGCAGCTTAGCTGGGCGGCGCATCTGATGGGCCATGTAGTTTTATTTGGATGCGACAGCACCAATCGCACTGAAAATGAGAATAAGCCTCTGAAACAAACTTTGAGTGAACGGTCAACGCTACTTCACCTGTTTCAGGTGATAGTGCAGCGTGCCAGTAGCATGATTGAGGAGCGGGAAACACTGCTGGCCAGAGCTCAACTTGGTGAATGCGACGTTCAGCACGGAGCCAGCGTTGGGGACGTGATTTTGCGCAGGCTCTCGTCCTACGCCCGGCGGCAGTACGCGCGGCACAGTGTTCGGGTTCGTATTCGCAGCGTAAACGAAGGCGGTGGTTGTTGGCTGGTGGAGGACGAGCGCATTGGTATGCAACGTGTTGTTATCGGAAATGGCTGCGCTTGTGGATGCAGATTAATTCGGCAGTGGCGTATTCCATGTGCGCACATAATTCACGTTGCGAGCCTGCACGCGTACCAGGAGGAGGATATGCTTGATGGTTGCCGCTGGGTAGTGCCATCCATAAGTACATCTGCGCCGGTGCTTTCGGAGGATACGGAAGGGACGTTGACGGTGGCGCCGGTGAGATGCCCCAGTGATGTAGTTCTTGACCGGGCGGCGAAAATTCGCATCACTCGGGATATGTTTGCGGCTCTGATTCTGAGCAGATTCTGAGCATGGGCACAGAGGAGTTCCAGCGCACCATGGGCGTGTTCGCATGCGCGCGGGAGCTGCTCATAAGTCACAGTGATGTTCAGCTTTACGCGCGGTCATCGCAGTTGGAACAACTGCAACCGTTATCCTTTGGAAAACATGCCTATTTTCCAGAGAATGCAGCCGTCATCCTCTGCTGCAGCTACCTACGTGACGGCAGGCGATGGTACGCGTAACAGCATGAATTCACCGGAGCGGGACGTCAGCGAAGGGATCACATTGGTGTCCCCGGTGGCTGGTGTTTCCCAGTCTCCTTACGACGACCGCAGGCGTCGGAGGCGGAAGTCGCCTTTGCTAACCCGTGCGGTTGAGGTGGTGGAAGGCAGCATGACTTCACGGGAGTTGACATTTATGACCCTTAAAAGAAGGACATCAGCGCGCCAACGCACATACACATGGGGTACAAAGAGAGGCACTGCTGAAAAGGAGGTGGACAGCGCACTGTTGCGCTCTTTGGAAGGACACAACGATCAACCATAGGTAGGTCGGTTTCAGCAATCGCGAAACCACCACCACGCGAAACCTTCCCCGTTCTCCTGAGCTTATCCATTTTCAAGGTTACAGTTGTTAGCCTGTCATCCTCTTCCGTCCGTCAGATTGATGCCTAGCGTGCTACCGTTGCTGGCGGGTGATGGAGCCAAATGGACAACAACAACGTGACCACGTGTGTGCCTTGTGTTCATGGGTAGCCATCGGTTGCCGCCATCAAGCGTTCACTCACAGTACGGAATGATGAACTGTGACAGTCATCAGCCAACGTAGACTCATGCACCTCACAACTGCGCTCAAGAGCACCAGGTATCATGAGGCCTGTGGACCGATTGCGTTGGAAAAGCTTGCGAGTGTTGCCAGAGAGGGCAGCAGTCTCCACCTGTAAACCAAGCTCAGACCACCATGTCCCGCTATATTTGCGGCTTTCGAACAGCTCCAGAGGAAAAGCAGAGACCGACCCTCTCAACTGGAGTCCATTTTGTAGGCAGTTTGTCTGCCCGGAAATGGTCATTGCGTTCTGCATATAAGTGCAGTGTTGTTCCACTTCTTGCGGTGGATTACAACGGATTGCATATGCTAATGAAGGCTGGTAACTAGTGTGGGCAGAGGAATCAGTTAATCGGTTGACATCAATCTTCTGGTGCTTGGTGTTTCCGGATACTCCAAAAGAGGTGCCGATTTCCGTGCACGCAACAGCATGATATGAGTCGACGAAGGTTGATCAAAAAGACCTGTGATCAATTTGAGACGGAAGCGGGGATCCTTTTCCATTGATTGTCATTGTCATTAGGACAAGTTCACAAGCATCGCCCGTAATCTGAGGAGCGGTATGTTCGAAATCAAGGATCTTAGAGAAACTTACACGGCCCAAGGTGCTTGCTTGCACTGAGACATCACTTTTCTCCACTTTCCTTGCTGGTGCATATTCATCACTATTAACGCTTTGTATCACAGTGCTATGCTGACAGGGGTACATATGTTTCCTGTAATCGCTACCCTTTCAGAGACTCCGCGCTGCGCACCGGCCGTTGCCTTTTCCCCGGTCTTGACGCCGCCATGCAATGCAGCATGGATACGTATATACAGGTAGCATACATTTTCAAGGCTCACCTCCATTTCAGAGCCACTGACATTTGCCGCCCAACGCCTTGTTTCCTGTCACTGTCACAGAGCCTCCTCCAAATACCTGCCGCCGCCACGTGATCTTGCATTGATTTGTAGTTACAGGTAACACAGCTTTTCAATGCTCACCTCTATTTCAGAGCCACTGACATCTGCCGCCCAACGCCTTGTTTCCTGTCACTGTCACAGAGCCTCCTCCAAATACCTGCCGCCGCCATGTGATCTTGCATTGATATGTAGTTACAGGTAACACAGCTTTTCAATGCTCACCTCTATTTCAGACACTGACATCCGCCGCCCAACGCCTTGTTCCTTGCCACTGTCACAGAGACTCCTCCAAATACCTGCCGCCGCCATGTGATCTTGCATTGATATGTAGTTACAGATAACATCGATTTTATATACTCACCTCCGTTTCAGAGCCATTGATACGCACCGCCTACTGCGTTCTTACCTAGCACTGCCACACAGCCTGCTGCACAGTCGTGCAGCCGCCATGCGGTGTTGCATTGATGCGTAGCTTTAGGTAACATTGATTTCCATCATCTCTTTGTCTTCAGAGTGCCTGCTTTGTGTCGCCCATTGACCTACAACCTCACGCTGCCACAGAGCCTCCTCCCAAGTAC